ATCATTGAATAAAGAGATTTGTTCTAATAGTATTTGTGGATAGGATATCATGTCTGCATCTTGTACAATGTGTAACCACTAAGACAACAATATGCAATGTATTAATTATTGAAACTGTGCTACTAATAAGTTTTGAAACTGTCTCATTGCTATTTGTTTCTCAATAAAGTTATTTTTTTAAAAAGTGTAGCAGTATCAATGGGCTCAATAGCCCTATGGCTTCTGTTTGATTTGGCTATTGATATAAAAAAGAAAAAAATAATTTATATTTCTGACTCTCTCTGCCAAGTTACTACGGATTGGGTATGTTCTGCTGAAAGTCACTTCCCCTTTATTCAAGGGTCTTCCCCTTACAGATCCCTTCTCTAATTTCTTGAAGTTGTTTATTCTTCTTGCCTCTTCAGCCTAAGAGTGGTTAACTGTTCACTGCTACTATGCCAGAGTTCTAAACACTGCCTCAAACTTCATAAATATTCCCTTTATCAAACTCTCTCAAATTACCAAGTCCTTGGGGCCGGGGAGATGGTTCAGTGGAATAAGCACTTCCATGGCAAGTGCAAGGGCCTGAGTTTAATCCCCGGTTCTGCAAAAAAACAAAACAACAAAAAAAATGTAAGTTAGTTAGGGACCAGGGAGATGGCTCAGTGGAATAAGTGCTTCCCTGGCAAGAGCAAGGACCTGAGTTCAATCCCAGGTTCCGGAAAAAAAAAAATACCAAGTCCTGGCATGCCATTTATCTTTTCCTGCCACCCTAACTGGTATAAATTATAAAATATATACTGAGATACTCAAATTTACCTCATGGCCAAATGCCTGTATAGTCCCAGAGGAAAAAAAAATCTTATTCTTGGATAATAACCACAAATGAGAAAAATAGAAGACTCAAATTATTCTTAAGTATGCAACACGGGCTATTTTATTTCTCAAAAACACCTATGTCTTTTGTTGGAATAATGAACTTATTAAATACACAAACTACAGTAGATAGGCTAATGGCCATTTCACGTCAAAGAGTCCCATTCCTAAAACCTGTAACTCGTACCTGTCCTTACACGGCAATAGGTATTTTTCAGACTTGAGAAATTTGATATGTGGATATAGATTATCCTGGGCTGTCCAAATGAATCAATCTAATCAAGAGTCCTTAAATCACGGAAATAATAGAATTCAAAAAAACAGACCTTCCAATTTTAAATCAGGGAAATAATAGAATTCAAACAAAAAGACCTTCCAATTTTAAATATCCAAACCAAAAATGGGCATCTCAGATGAATACACACTTCTCAGAAGAAGAAATACAAACAGAAAATAAATATATGAAAAAGAGTTCAATGCCACTGGTCATTTGACATGTACAAATTAAAACATACTGAGATTCAATCTCACCCAAGAAAGAGTGGCTATTATCAAGAAATCAGCCAATAGCAAATCCTCTGCTGGTGGTGAGAGTGTACACTGGTGCAACCACTGTAGAAATTCATCAAAACACTAGTGTGGAGATTCCTTAAAAACTAGGATTGGAGGGCTCACCTGACCCAGCTAGTCCCCTGCTGGATATCTTCCCAGAAGAATTAAAAACATCATACCACAGTGATATATGTGCTCCCAGGTTATAGCAGCACAATTTGTAATAACTAGACTTTAGAAACAACCCAAATGCCCACCAACCAAGCAATGGATAAAAAAGTGTTCTTTTTTATACAATGGAGTACTACTCGGCCATAAAGTAGGATAAACTAGACACTTTTATAGGTAAATGGATGCAACTCAAGACCATACTCATGAGTGAAATAAATCAGACTCACATGTGTAAACATTGAATTGTTTCCCTACTGTGAGAAGCTGAAAGAGTAAATAAGATCTAAAGTGTATAATAAATATTGTGAAATGGGAAAAACTGTTCAAGAGAGAAAAGAAACTGGGATGGAGAAAGGAGAAAAGAAGGAAGGGAAAAACAATTATATGATAGTTATGATAGTTATACTTAACTATCTAATTAGTTAACTATCAATGAGCTAATTTCTCTTAGTTCATTGAAAAGAAAGGTTTGTGCTAATATGGTTTGGACAATTAAATGCCTCTATCTTGCACTGTGAGTAAGTAATTTAAAGACAATACACAATTTATTAACCATTGTAACTCTCCTGTTATCTTGTTTTGAAATTTTGGGGGGTTTTCCCCTTTAAAGTAAAATCTGAAAATAAACAAAACAGAGAACCTTCTCTGACTATGGTCCCTGAGGGATGAGAAGACAGGAAGACAGTGATACCTCATTGCCTGTTTCTGAGATGCACAAGTCCATGTACAAAGACTCAAGGTCTCTAGGAAGAGAGAGAGAGGTCCCCAGCTAAAAGCTAGTCAGGAAATCAAGAGTTCAGTCTTTTCTTTCTCTAATGCCCTGAGAGGGTTAAGTGGCTAACATGTATGCCTGATTTGTTATCTTAAATCATACCTCACTTTTGAAGAAAAAAATTCAGAGACTAAGTGATTTCTTCTTTTACTTCATAACATTCCCTTTCTACAGATTTTCTGTTTGAATGAGAGGAGAGACTATCAGGAGGAAAAAAATACAGTATTATAATTAATGTTTCACATCCCACCATCCATAAGAGAAAACAAAAATTTTCTACTTCCAGGCCTTCAAAAATTCTTTAACTCTCCAGAACATTCTCTCTACTTCATTCTATCACCCTTAGGCTCTATATGAAGCAAACTACAAAATGTTACCAAGGAACATAAATATTTTAATAAAAGAAAAAGTTTTATGAAGTAAAATGTCTTTCTCACAAGAAGGCAACTTCTTAAAGGTATAAATTCTCCCAAAAATTTATTTTAAAAATGTAACAAAAAGATCCCAGCTTGCTTTTAAAAAATTGATAAAAGTTTTTAAGCTTCATAGAATAGCTAAGAATATACGGTTAAGAGAAAATTTACAATCTTGGCTTGAAGAATGATGGCTAAGTTTACTCCAAAAGTTGGAATGATTGACATATTACTGCCTACATAAAAATCTAAAAATTTTCTTATACCAAATTATAAATAAAATTAGAGCTCAGGGTGCATCTCAGCATTGGAACATTTTCTGAGCACATGCAAGACTTGAGCTCAAACTCTGACACTGAATTAATTAATTAGTTTATGATAAACTAGGGGGAAATCACTATTACAGACAAATCAAAGAGGTGTTTTAATCCAAAAGGAAAATTAGTATAGGACATGTATATTCTAAAGTAAAAATTAAAAAACTCATGTAAATTTTTCATAAATGTGAAAAAATTGATTATTCTCAATAAAAGAAATACAAAGTATGAGTTAATTTTTTACTACTAAATTAGAAAAATATTTTAAGACTATAATTTGAAATTAGACATCTCGATGAAGGTATTGAATAGACAGTTGGGTATATGAGCTGAGTGGGGGAGAATTCGAGGCAGGGCTAAACAATGTTGTGAATGTGTTCAATCCTACTGAATCATGTCATTATAACTGTCTAAAAAGATATTCTTCTGATATATGT